TCATAAACAAAACCAAAGCTGATGCACAAAAATTGTTTTGCAAAAGCCTTGCCATGACAGTTTAATAAAGGTCGCTCACAATCCATGGCATATTTCTGCAATTGCATAAATTTGTCAGCTCTTATGCACCGAATCGCGAATAGCCCTTATATGTATACAAAGCATGCACAGCGGTGACAACACGTACACACCCTGCAGCAATAAGGCGGCCAATTTTCCGTTAAGGACTAGTACTTCACTGGTTAAAATTTGACTGCTCAGAATTGGACATTTGCTTGCATCTAAAATGCCAACCTTCGACCAGTCCTCAAGGAACTGGCCTAGAGATAGACGAAAAGTACAGTTTGGCAGTGACAGGGGGGTGTTGTCTTGCAATTCAATAAAAAAATTTAAAGAACACCACCCTGTAAATGTCCCAATAGCTTGGTCTGGCCTTGATGCAAAGTGAACATTTGACCACACATTTACATGCGTGGCTGTAGCTCAGTGCGCAGAGACTCCTGCAGCAATTCAGACTGACCCTAGGTTAGCCCCACAGATAGTCCCTATTGTTACCAGCACTAGTCCCTCATAGTTCCCCTGCCAATGGTTTCAACTGCCATTTTTAGCATTGGCGTGTCATTGGAAAAGGACCGGTCCAATCAACAATGACCGTAAGATAGTCCTGGACTAGTCCAATTTTGGAGATTTTTTTCGTTGGAGTAAGATTGCGTTCTGCACTTCGCAGATGCTTTTTCATAATTCGGAATCAGAAAAAAAAATAAGTTCTATCATTTTATAACCATGTTGCTTCTGACGGCATTTGAACCCGGAACCTCCTGAAAGCTAACAAATAGTGGCGTAGTTCTATCTTTTGTAGTTTTAAGATAGTTCAAAAGTGGATAGTTTCAAGCTAGTCTAAAAAAGACAATATTTACAATCCTACTAGTTGCAAAACTAGTTAAAATACCCATTCCATTCAAAAACATATATATATATAGATTTAAAAAAAATATTAATTTGCACTAAGTTAACACTTTTTATTGTTAACGTACATTAAATAAACACAATACATAAATATGAACACGGCCATAATAATAGAAACGCCTTATATTTTAAGTATATTTTTTGTATAAAGTAGATATCGATATACATATGTATGTACGTATGTATGTATGTATAACATATTGAAGCAAATTATGATTTAACTTAGTCTTTCGTTCATTCCAATTCATATTTTTTAAAGTAAACTCTTATTTATATTGATTTTTATAAAATTGTTACATAAAACAGTTTTGTTTAGAGTAGAGATCGAAATACATATGTATGTATGTATAACATATTGAAGTAAGTTATGATTTAAGTTAGTATTTCATTAATTTGCATTCATATTTTGTTAAGTAAATTCTTAGTTATATCTTTTTTATAAAATCGTCATATATATGAAATAGTTTTGGTTTCAGTAGAGATCACACTACTTATACTAAATATGCTGATTAAAGGCAGGCTCTGGTTGAATAAAAATAACATAAATTTTAAGTTATGGAGATGTGGCGGCTTTTGAGACATACACTTTTAAAATGGCGTTTTTTTGCATCCGGATCAGTGTTGCCAAAGAAACTTTTCGTTTGGAGCTTAAACGGTCAAAAAAAGAGCTAAAAAGAGCTAAATAATACTAATAGTAGCTAAAATGAAGAGCTACATATTTTTGTTAAGGTTGAACATTTATTGACGTAAGATTGTTTTCACATCTTCGGCAATTTTAATAAAAACAACGAATTTTATAAGTTTAGGTGCTGAAAAAATCTTTTAAAACCAAAATAAGGTGCCTACCTATATTTCGAATTCGTTGCTATGGCACTTATAACAGTGAACTAAAAATACTTTACAAACTGTTAGAGCCTGTAATTTCAGATATTTAAATAGAGTTATTTTTTCGCAAAATTTTTATGGAAAGTTTTACTTCCAGCTCTCCTTAAAGGTAAAATTAGTAAGGTATAACAAAATCCGCGCTATCAGGAAAAGGATTTTCTTGTAAATAATTTTTGAATTCTTTAACCTAGATCCAAGAGTTTATGGTGGATACACTGCATCTCGAAATTTTCAATTTTATCAACGCTTAAGTTTTGGCTTATACATATCAAATACAATTAAAACTTTCTGAAACTAAAAAGAGCTAGATAAATTTGAAAAAAGCTAAAAAACCCAATTTTTGGAGCTAAATAGAAAAATAAAGACCTAAATCTAGCTCCAAAAGCACCAAAATGGCAACACTTATCCGGATGGCCTTTCGTAGGTGGTCCTCTGCATCGTCGACCTTCGGTAATTGCAAAATTGAATCTATTATACGGAAGAAACATATGTGTAGATTATGTACGTATAGAGTATTAAAACTATTATTATTTACCCAGAAGAGCAGCATAGGATTTCTCGTATGTTTTGAGTCTTTTTTTTCGTATGTCCCGTCTAAATTATGGTTTAGCACAATTGAATCGTCTAATATGTTTTTTAAATTTCGTGTAGCACTTTGCTGAAGCAGTCTCTTAATGGTGGACACCTTTGAAAGAAATAAGCATAAAGCGTAAGTACAAATATAAGTTTCATGATATTTTTTTTTTAAGATATATCGAACCCTAACCGCCAAAATAACGTAAGCGCCATTTTTTTCAAAATTTTCTTTTCGATGCAGAAATACATCTAGATGCCCGAGGAATATTTCTGCATCAAAAATAAAATTTTGAAAAAAATGTCGCTTACGTTATTTTGGCGGTTAGGGCTCGATATGCAAATAGATGTGCAATAGGTACCCAAATCAAGTTAGTATATGACCGGAAAATAAGTATGATTTTGACACTTACAAAAATCTCGCGATTCTCCGGAAGTATCTTTTCCTCTATCGCCTTGAGGCTCTCTTCAGTTGTTAGCGGAAATAAGCCTGCAATTGGTGCCCCCACTGACTCCTGGCGAATCAACTTTTGTGTAGTAATTTTCTGCTCCGCAAAAGCTGCCATAATGGCCTCATTATGTACACGTTGAGTTTCTGAAAGAAATATGTATAAAGATAATTTATAATCTTGTGGCATATAAAGTGCTTCTTACGTTCCATTTGCTCCAATTTGTTGCAGACAAACGATTTTAATTTATTGAGATCCTCTGTAACATCAACAAGTTTGTCATCTATTGTACTGCAGTTAGAGGTGGAACTTCTTGGATCACCGTCTGTAATAAAGATTCTGAAATACACTGTTTATTAATAACAAAAGTAATTACAACTGTGGCATGTATTTACACTGCGGTTGAATATTTTCAGTCCCTCTCTCCATAATTCTAAATTTTTTAAACGACATTATGTACTTTTTTAAATATGTATGTACGTTCATAAAAATATGTATCCATGTTTGTGTGTACATTTATGTGTATGTAGGAAAAAATGTGAATGTGGGATTTTTTTTATTATTACAAACATCCATGCAATATTGGAATCATTAGCAAGCGGCCTTTATAGGGTAAACTCAACAATTTGCATTCTATTTCGTCTACGGGAAGCGATATTTCCTTCCTCCAATGGAGTTAAATACACATATGCCTAATGTCATTGAATCTACAGGTTCCGTGAAAAAACTTTTTAATTTTGTAAACTTCTTTCCTACGACTAAGCCCCCATTCTCATTTTTAAAACATTGGATTTTTATAGGAGTATACGGCCTTATTAAACAATAAAAACACAGTTATTACGATGGTACTGATACCTTCCATTTTTAAGTAATTTTAAACCAACGCATACAGGCTGTGTTACCAAATTCTCAACTGTAGTTCTGTTATAAAATTTTTGTAGCACATGTGTTGGTTTTTGACATATGTTTTAAGGATCTGTAAGTAGTTTTCAAAACCGTATGCAGATGAGCCAGATTACGGTTGCCAGACGTACTGATTTTATCACTACAGCGCTGATTTTTCAACTCTTGTACATCAGTACATTCATTTCTTCAATCAGTACGCTAATGTCCTGATTTTTCAAAATTTGTACTGATTTGTACTGAATTTTCTATCCAAACGAAATACTTTACTATTTTCTTAAGGTTTTTACATAACGTTGGAACTTCCTTAAACTGTACTGTAAAAAATAAGCAGAAAATAATTAAATTATAGTTGACATGTTTTAGATAATGTTTGATATGCCCAAGAAATTAATACAACAAAAAGATTAGTCGTTGTATGGGCATATCGCCGGGTCCTTACGTACCAGTTGCGATAATATGATGGAACTTAAATTATTTAAAAGGAAGGCTTAAATTTTTCTCGAGTGTTGTTAATTATCTCGAAAATAACTTTCAGTTTAATAACAATAAATTTCAATATTCGAATGGCTTTTGTCTATAACTAACAACTCCTTTTTCTCAATTTACTGACTGTAAAAGAGTTTTGCATACAAGACATAGGGTTAAATACTCTTTTTAGCGAATTCTTAGTCTTTCACAGTTTTTGCGTAGTTCAAAAATTATTTAAGCCATGAGGAAATAATAGATGAACTCCTTAAAAAGTAGTATTTTTTTACAGTATGAGCGGATCTTAAGAATAAAGTTTGTTTCCTGGCGCAAAGAGAGAAGCCGCTTCTAATTAAAATGTTTGAAAGTGAACTTCAAATTAAAAGTAATTTTAAAATGAAATGTATAGAATTCTTTGACTATTTAAACACTGAAAATGGGAATGATCTCATTATTGCTATTCAAAACTGTCATAAATATAAAATAATTTATTGACTCCTGTGTACGATGATGTTTACACTCATGTTAAAATGAAT